TCTGGGGGCGCTTCTTTTTGACTGCGCTTGACCATTCGGGGGCATGCTTTGATCATGTCGTTATTATTCGTCCAAGATAGATGCGCTTGTAGGAGGACGTGCCCGACCTAGGAATACAGTCGGGGCCCTGAAGAAGGAACCCTTTTCGTTGGGGAGGGGCTCCTCGTTCCTTGTGTGGGTTCGCAGTTTGCCTGAGGTTTTCCTCACGTTTTCGATCGGAAATCGAAGTTGAATGTATGGAAAAACGGGCCTCGTTTCTTATTTTGGGTTCCTTAGGTCAAGGCCCCGACTGTAGTGCGTTCCCGACCGAGTCGACTCGGGATGAGCACCGGTCTTCGTGACGGCGGCGCTCGTTGTTCGACGGTCGGGGGGCTTGGTGAGGCCCTCGGACGGCAGACACGGCCACCGCCCGTCCTGTTTCTCCTCTTCCTCCTCCTTCACTTCCTCCTCCTCCTCCTCCTCCTCCTCCTCCTCCTCCTCCTCCTCCACCTTCTCGTCCTCCTCCTCCTCCCGTAGCAATTTTGGCTCAAGGTTTTGGTTTCCCAGCGGAAACAAGTGGATACCGCTAGTCCGCGGCTAGACCCCAGTTTCTTTCATCGCACCGCCAGGGCGAGACTGCGGCAGCAAATCACGGGAGCCAGGTATACCCGCTTAAATTGAAGGCGGGCCTGTCCCTCTACAGGGGGAATATGCAGAAATAGTCCGGAAATAGTCTGGGGACGATGTTTTGACTCTTTCTGAGCATTTGGGGGGTGTTTCTTGAGCATCTTTCATTTTTCGCTCAAGATCGCCCTGTAGAAAACACGCCCGGCTTAATCTGAATTCCGTCTCTAGCGTCGATTAGCGTCGACCAGCGTCGACTAGCGTCGATTAGCGTCGATTCGCAAGAGCCGACAAGATTTTATGGGAGGCTCCCGTGAGTTGTCACCTGAGGCGAAAAGCATCATATCCGTATCCGCGGGGTCGCGGGCCCGGCCCCTGGGCCGCGACTCCGCGGATTTCGGGCGTCCCCGAATTGCCACCCCTCACCGCCCACCAAACCACCCCAGCCCAGCCCGAAGGCCCCGCCCCCCCCCCCCAGCGCGAAGTTCGGGCCTCCGGGTTCGGTTGGGGTGGTCTGGCAGGTAGTCCACCCCCCGGCTACCTCCGCGGACCCCCGAGAGCCGACGCGGCGACAACAGTGCGGCATCGCGACCAGTCACGCCAGAGCCCCAGGTTTTATCTTTCTGCGCCGTGTTTCGAGCCAGATCGATCTGCGAAGGTCCTCCTCGGCTGAAGTCGGGCCTGTCCCTCCACAGGAGGAAGATTAGGAGTAGAAAGAAAAAGTAGTCAGGGGACCATGTTTTGAGTGTTTTGGAGCATTTTCAAATCTATTTTGACTATTTGTTTTTTTCGTCCACAATCCGCCTGTAGGAGGACACGCCCCACCTGATTCTAGGCCTCTCAGATGGGGTCCGAGTAGATGGGGTCGCAGGATCGCGCAGCATCGCCGATGCATCGCCGATGCATCGGCGATGCGGCTCGATGTGGAGCCCGATCTTCTCCACGCCGACGTCGCCGATGCATCGCCGCCGCCGGCGCATTGCTCATGCATCGCCGATGTATTCGGCGATGTGGCGCGATCCTCCGACCCGAGCTACTCCTGCCCCATCTAGATCGAGCAAGATCGATCTGCGAGGGTCCTGGGGCCCGCAGCTGGGCGAGCCCGCCCGTTGCCCAGCAAAAAGGGCAGCGCACGGAGCTTCGGGGCCTCGAGGCGCCGTGCCGGGCGCGTGCGTCGGCGTCGCCAGCGTCGCCTTGGCCGCGGCCGCCACCGTCGCCGTCGTCGCTGCCGTCGTCGTCGTCGTCGTCCTCGTCGCTGTCCTCGGCGTCGTCGTCGTCGTCGTCGGCGACCTCGAGGCGGGTGCTGGAGCTCGCGGCTGGGGTCGGCGTACCGGCGCAGGCGGTCGGGCGGGGCTAGGACGAGCATACATCCGTTCCAGAGCGCTTTGGCACGCTCCCAGGGCGTCCCAGCAAGCTCTGAGAAGGCCGCGGGCGCCCGAGGCGTCCTCCAGAGCCGCCGGACCTGAGAGATTCTCGATTTGTCCTCGCCCGCTTCTCTCCTCGTTCTGCCTTCGTCTCCAGGTGTCGGGCCAGACTAAAAGGGGGGATTGGGAAAGGGGGGTTGCGACATTTGCTGCATGCAGCTGGTTTCGGCCTCACCGAGCGGCCCATTCCTCGATACATGGCCGCCTCCCAGCGCCGAGAGGCGCCGGGAAAATCAGCTGCGCGAGCTGATTCTCAACCCCCCCCTTTGCTATCCCCCCTTTCGCCCGACCAGAAGGTGGCGCGGCGCTTCGGCGCCAACGTCACCGCCACGGACGTGTCGCCGGCCTCGCTCTGGGCGCTGCGGCGGAACCTGGCGGCCGCCGCGGCCGGCCGCGGCGGCCGCGTGGAGCGGGCGCGCGTGCTGCCGCTCGACGTGCGCGACGAGGAGGGCGTGCGGCGGTTCCGGCGCGAGGCGCAGGGGAGAAGAAGAATCTCCCCCCCTTCCCCCTCTCCCCCCTTCCCCCCCCCCTCTCCCCCCCCTCTCCCTCCCCCTTTCCCCCCCCCCTCTCCCTCCCCCTCTCCCCCCTCCCCCCCTTCCCCCCTCCCCCTCTCCCCCCTTCCCCTCTCCCCCTCTCCCCCCTTCCCCTCTCCCCCCTCCCCCCCCTCTCCCTCTCCCCCCTTCCCCCCCTCCTCCCCCTCCCCCTGACCCTGCTCTTCCTTTCCCCCTCCCCTCTTACCCGAGGGGGAGAGTAGGGATTTTTCTCAGACCTGCTCGCGTCGGGAGAAGTCACTGGGCGCGCTCTCCTACTCGCAGAGCGCCTACTCGCAAGTGTTCGAACAACACTTGTTCGCCTCGATGCAACAGATCGTAATCGCCCGAGGCGGATAGAGACCATTTGCGAGTAATTTGAGTAATTACTTTGCGAATCGTAGAGGCCTCCCAGAAGGTGTCGGAGCAGGTTGGGTCGGAGGATCGCGCCGCATCGCCGATGCATCGGCGATGTGGCTCGATGTGGCGCCCGATTTTCTCCACGCCGATGTCGCCGGTGCATCGCCGATCCCGTAGCCATTTTGGCTCAAGCCATTTTGGCTCAAGGCTCGAGGCTGAGGTGGAAGGGCAGCCCCTTCCATTGGCCTGGCTGCCTCAGCTAGCTTTCAGTGAGCACCTGGCGGTGCAACCCTTTCGACCTTCGGCGCTCCGAGGGACACGGTCGCGGGCACAGCGGTGCGGCGGCCTTCATGGATGGTGCAGATGTGGTCCGCGGCCCCAAGACCCCTTTCTGGGGCTGCCAGAGTTGCGGGCTCACCAGCAACTGGGCGTGCAGGCTGCGGTGCCGCTGCGGGGCGAAGGCCCCCGCGTTCGTGCTGCAGCGCGCCAAGGCCTTTGGCAACGGTGGCGGGAGCCCTACTCGGATGGATCCTGGGCGCAGACGTCAACCTGCTGCAGGGTCAAGGCGCGAGGCCAAACTGGAGTCCCAGCTGGCCGAGATGCAGAAGAAGCTGGACCAGTTCATCGGTGGAGGCGCCAAGTCTGCCCGAGCCCCTATTATTGGACAAGGGCCTGGCCAGCATGGTGGCGCACAGTCCAATGGAGGAGGCGGTGGTGACGGACAGGATCCACTACAGGCACGTGTGCTCGAGCTCGAGTGTGCGATTAAGGCCTGCGGCAAAGGTGACGACACAACCGAGGCACGGACGCTCCTGGATAACAAGCTCAAGACGGTGCGCGCGGAGATCGAGAGCAAGAAGCCGAGCATCACGCAGCACACCAATGTGGGGCATCGATTGGCTCGGGCTACGACGAAGATGGAGAAGGTCACGACAGAGCTTGAGGAGCATAACAAGTTGCTCGACGAGCTCAATGCCAAGACGGACGAGATCAAGGCGCGCAAGGTCGCAGCGGAGGCTGAGGTGGCTGAACTGCAACGGCAGCATGTGCAGTCACTTCCTGGTCAAGCTGCTGACGGTGGCGACAGGCGGCCTGTTGATCTGTCTCTCCCTCCTGAGGCCCTGGAAGGCAAAGACGCGATCAAGTCGATGCTCGAAACGGCCGGGTTCAAGGAGTTCGTTAAGTTGTTCGCTGTGCATCGTGCCGCTGCTGATCCTGGCGCTGATGCATCTGAGTCCCACGTCAACGGTGCTGAGCACGTGCCCACGCCACACGACGCGGAGATGGACGATGCATTCCAAGACGAAGCAGCTGCCGAAGCTTTCTGGGAGAAGCACCGTGGCGATAAGCGAGCCTTCACCCAAGCCCTTTTGGGCGCCAAGCTCAAGAAGCCGAAGACCGCGCCGCAGCTTTAGCCACTACCCGTCCTGGGCTAGGTGGCATGGCTCGACGAGGCCGATGGCGAGTTTCTCACCCAAACCTTTTGCTTCACGCAGGGAGAAAAACCATACCTCAGGTTCTACGGGATCTGAGGGTGTCAGACGCAAGCCAGATGCTCCTGGCGACGTGCTTCATCAGAGACAGGCTACTGACGATCAAGTGTCAGATGTTTCCCAAGCCTTACCTGGTGACGCTGTGCATTTCTTCGGGGTTACGTGTGACGAGAAGTGGCTCAGGCTACAGACGTTCGAGGACCTGAAGGCTGTGTGGTACCTGTTGGACGTGCTGCAGTACGGCCAGGATATCAACCTCGGTGAGTTCGACGAGGTGCGAGTCGTCAGGCACAACGGCGTGCCCGAGCTTCTGAGGCCTCCTGAGTCCCCGCAGTCATCAGTTTTGCTTGACGGTGCCCGTGTGCGCCCCCACCTGGGGCCCAAGTGCACTGGTTTGCGAGTCTCGGCCCACGGAGTAGGCTTACCGCCTAAAGCCGCCGCCCCTGCTGACCTGGAGGGTCAGGCGCACGTGTTTGATTCGTATAATGGGAACAGCTGGGGCACGCGCAAGAAGAGACTGATGAGTACACAGGCTCTTGTGGTGTTTGCACAGGAAATAGGTATTACCGAAGAGGATCTTGCGGCGAGAACTTCGACAGCTAAGAGTTTAGGCTGGAACATGCTCTGTACCTCTTCGGTCAAGTGTGCGGGTGGTCAGACGTCGGCTGGAGTGGCCATACTGGCAAGAACGTCTATCGGCCTGAGGTGGCCCACTAAATTGCCCAGAGGTATACTTATCCAACACAGGCTGATCTTTGCTACGATCGACATTCCAGGGTGGCCCGACTTGCTAGCAGGTTGCGCGTACATGTTCACCAGTGAGGGTCTGAGCAAGCGGAACCTCCAGATTTTAAGACACGCAGGTGCAGTTTTAGAAGGTGTACATCTCTCGGTGTTTGCTGCTGATTGGAATTTCTCAGCAGTAGTGGCAGAGGCGTCTGGCATGCCTCGCAAGGCCTCCATGATGATATTGCAGCCCAGTATCGAAACGTGTGCAACACCGAAAACAAACACCAATATCGATTATTTCATGGCGTCGGCGGCTTTCTGCAAGCTTGTGGGGGCCACCGAGGTTGATGCCAGTACGTGGCCGAAGCGGCCCCATCGCCCAGTTCAGCTTCGTTTAAGGCCTGGGGCAACCAAGCTGCAGCAGCTGGTGTACCAGACTCACCAGAAACTTCCAGTTGAGCTGCCCATCGGCCCCACCCCACCGCCGATCGATTGGTCCGTGGCCCGAGCTGTGGCCGAAGAGGCGAACCGTAGAGCTGACCACGAGGATGTCGGTTTAGTTTGGGGGGTCCTGGACCGAGCTTGGAAAGTTTTCTCGGGTACGATGGAGTTAGAGTTAGAAAGCAGAACGGGCACCCCCATAAAACGTAAAGGGCTAAAAGGTAAGCAGCTTCAGGCTAAGTGGGTGCCTGTGATGACCCCCCCCCGAAGTGCAAAGAAGAGGGCGATGTTCGCATTGGGGAAGGATGGGTGTGGCTGCAACAGGGGATGACAGACCTTAGGAACACCAGTCAGCGCATTCTCACGCAGGCTGACAAGTTCGTTGATCACAGTGAAGTGCAGGCAGCCCGTAACCTTGTGCAGATTGTGTCTCAGCCGTTTGAAGCGGAGGGTTTGTCTCCGAGATTGGATCCCACTGTCCGCAAGGCGCGTGAGCTGGCGGCGGCTTGGCCGCAAGACATGGTGGCCCTTGCTGGGTGGATCGATCATTGCTCGGAAACTCTAGAAGACTGGGCCGATGATTTTCAGGCGGCCCGCGACGGGCTGAACCAAAAATCGAAGCAGAGTTGGGGCCAGTGGCAGACGGAAGCCCTGGCGGGGTCAGCCCGAAAGATGCATCGGCTTACGAGGTTGAAGGCCAGGTGGCAACCGACGGTGATAGAAACCAGCCCAGGGATCTTCACGTCGGACCCGCGCGATTTACTGGCCCACGAAGCCAACGTGTTAGGAGGGTTCTGGAGTGCCACCACCATCCCACCCCCAGTTGAAGTCCCAGATAGGCACTGTTTTGAGAGAGCCACCGCGGCGGAGCTGCGTGCCGCAGCCAAGATGTTCTCGCCGCACACGGCTCAGTCCCTTGATGGGGTGCACGTGCGACAGTCCGCTTGCATGTCGGACGCGGGCCTCGACGCCCTGGCTTGCGTTTTTCAGTGTGTGGAGAAGATAGGACTCTTCCCTCGGGCGCTGTATTGGATGCTCTTCCCCCTCCTGGAAAAACCGAAGGGTGGGTTGCGCCCGATTTTGTTGTGTTCCTCCCCTGTTAGGCTTTGGGAACGACTCCGACGACCGAAGCTGACGTCCTTCAACGACCGACATCCGCGTATGTACTGGGCTTTCGGAGCGGGGAAGTCGGCGGAAGGCAGTGTGTGGAACCAGGCGGTGAAAGCGGAGGCCCGAGTGGCCGATGGTGGGGTCGCCGCGGGGTTCTCTTGGGATGGGTCCAAGTACTACGGGAGTTTCAACCTGAGACTCCTCCGAGATCGGGGCCAGAGAGCGGGCCTCGATCCGGTGGTGCTGAAAGTCACGTTCAACTTCTGGAGAGGCCCTCGGATCTTGCGATTAGGCACTGATCATGCGCTGGCGGTGTTGTACGCTGAAAGCGGGCTGCCAGCAGGGTCGATTTTCAACGATATCTTCGTGCGAGTGTACGCGCTCGAGCCTTTCGACGGATTTGTGGAGAGGAACCCCAGCATAGATTTGGCGTCGTATGTGGACGATGGCACGGTCTCGTCGTATGGCACCGAGGCTGAGGTCATCCACTCTCTTGCCGCAGCGGCGCAGGACCTGCACCGTGTTTTCAAGCAGGAGCTCGGGGTCAATCTAGCCCAAGATAAGTTGATGACTTTTGGTTCGTCGCCCAGTGTCGCTCGTCGCCTAGGGGAGCAGCTTGGGAAACTGGCGGGACATGTTGGGACCCACATGGTGACCTTAGGTTGTGACCTCGCCCCAGGGGGCGAACGGAGTAGGAAAGGTCACCTGAGCAAGCGACGGGCCAGGTTGAAAGACATGCTTAAGAGACACCGTATCCTGTGTAAATATCGGAAGGCCCTTCCCAGGGTTCGTTTCAGGATTGGCAAGATC